GCCTGCCAAGACTTTGGATTAACAATCAGCCTGAAGAAAACAGAAGTCATGGGCCAGGTGTGGACTCACCTCCCTCTATTACCATCTCTACACAAGAATTGGAGGTTGTTCATGACTTTGTGTACCTTGGCTCAACGATCTCTGACATTCTCTCCCTAGATGTTGAGCTGGATAAACGCATTGGCAAAGCAGCTACCACATTCTCTAGACTCACAAAGGAACTGTTGGTTTATACAGTGGACCCTCTACTTAAGGAATTAATCCGTATTGGAACGGTGGCTGCAAGTCGAAAAGTCTGTAGGTCGAATCTCCATTGACCTACAATGCATTGAAAACCAATTAATCCCATAACTGGCAGTTTTTATTCTATTTTTGTTCCATTTTGGTTTTTGTCTGGTCTGTCAGTCGATTCTCCGGCTGCAAGTCGAATCTAAATTTTGTGGCCAGAGAAGTCTGTAAGTTGAACCGTCTGTAAGTCGAGCCGTCTGTAAGTCGAGGGTCCACTGTACCAAGATCCAGGTCTATAGAGCCCGTGTCCTGAGTACACTCCTGTATTACAGTGAGTGCTCCACATATCATTTCATTTTCCAGTTTTACATGTTAAGTATGATTCAAGGTAGATAGGAAACGGTAAAGCAAGAAATTGAACATTAATCATTGAAGTACTTCATATTAATAAACTAAATGGAATGGGATATTTTTAGTCAAGCAACTACAAAGTATTTTAATCTAGAAATACAAACTCAGAAGAAACAGAGTGGTTCTAATACTAATGCAAGTTAGCACAGACAATTAGGGGCTATAACGACCAAATAGTGTTAATCAGATTTCTTGGAAAACCTATCAATTTAAGTATCATTAAAATCCATGCTCCAACTACAGATGCTAAAGAAGAACATAAATAGAAGGCTTTCATATGAACATCAAAGAGAAAATTATCACACCTGAAAACAATCATAGGTGACTGGAATGCAAAAATAGGAAACAAAGTACAGTAGAAGCAAATGTTGTTGAAGATTTTGGCCTAGAGGTCAAAAACAAATCAGGAGCATGATTTATAGAATTCTATGAAAGCAACAATTATTTTATTGCAGATACCTACTTCAGGTTGCTGAACAGACTACATAACTGGAATCAGAAAAGGGACAAGCTCTATTCTTTATGGCAAAACAAGACTAGGAGTGGATCATGACATCGACTATCAATCATTAATATAAACAACTGGAATGAGGCTGGAAAAGAACACTGAAAGAATCATAGTGCCAAAATATAAATCCAATAATATCCATGATGAACTAAAAGCCCACATAAAGAACAGATTTGCATTACTAAACACGATTCACTGTCAATTGGAACAATGTGGATTGGAAACAGATATTACTAAAGAAGAATGCAAAAAGAATATTCCTATAGTAAAAAAGAAAATGAAGCCTAGATGGATGATAGAAGAAATACTTAAAATTATTAAAGATAGGCAAGAAGCTAAAGTAAAATGTGACAAAAGACTGATTTCCTCAATGCAACTTTTCAATAAATATTATCATAGAGACAGAGAACTATTAAAATTATTCAAAGAAATAGAAGAGAATAACAAAAGATGAAAAACAAGATGTCTCTTCCTGAAAATCCAAAACATCAAAGTAAATTTAATCCCAGATTAGGAAAATCAACAGGGGAACATACTATTTGACCAGGATAAAATAAAGAGAAGATGGAAAAAATATACTGAATAATTATACAGGAGAGATGCAAACATTTTGATAAGAACCAGCAAGTTTAGAACATGAAGTAAAACCTACTCTCAAAGCACATGGAAGAAATAAATCACCAAGGGCAGATAGAATATCAATAGAATTATTCCAGATTGCAGAAGCAAAATATGTCAATATTCTAAAAAAGAGTATGCCAACAAATATGGAAAACAAAACACTGGTCCACAAACTGGAAACATTCAATATTCATATTCTAGTCCCCAAGAAAAGAGATGCTAAGAAGTGCAGTAACTATAGGACCACTGCTGTAATTTCCCATGTAAACAAAGTGATGCTCAAGGTATTACAAAAGTACCAAGGACTTTAACCCTGTATTATGTAAGAAATGCTAGATGTTCAGGCTGGGTCCTGGAAAAAAGAAGTACTCGAGATCCTAAGGCAAATATATGCTGGTTACTTCATTGCATCAAAGAATATCAGAAGAATATCACTCTATGCTGATCTTCATCCATATGTCCTCATACCTTTTATACCTAACAATAGTACCATTACTCCCATCCATGCACATATTTGGCTAAAAGGAGAAGACTTCCCAGAGATCAGGTAAAATGAAAATTACCCACCCTTTATTAATCCAACAATCACATTTTTGAGTATGCACACATGTTTGTATCCATTTTTAATTATCTGATCCGTTTCATAAGGCCAAGAAATTTACAATCCTAACAGATCAACAGAAGCTACAGAAAATACTACCTATTTTATAACTGAAACTATCTTTCAGTAATTTTTATTATTCTAATATAAAGGTCATCCAATCAATATCAACTTTTAAATGCTTCAATATACTATTCAGGCAAAATGTGCCAAATACCAAATTCAGAAAAAAGTTTCTTGTATTATTTCTTTGTACAATACAATATCCCATACAATAATCCCTCAATATTTTTTGTACCTTGACATACTGTACCTTTTGAACATCAGCATCATGCTTCTGCTGCAATTTAAGCTTTTCTTCATGAATTCTAGCTTCCATTAGTTTCGTTTTCATCTCCATCTGTAAATTGAGTTTATATTTACAAATCACTTTTGGAAATAAATTTAGACTTAACTCTAGTTCCCTTCATCCTCCAAAATGGGCCCAGCATCTTCAGGCTGGGCCCAAAACCCAAAATGTCAACCCCATGTGGCTAAGTGTGGTAGAACTAATTCTCCTTGATCAGATGACTAAATGTCTAAGAAGCTATATGCAGCAAAACTGGATCCCTTTAGCATGATGACCAAAAGACTAGCAAGTTATTTAATTTTTTTATTTAAAATATTTTTGTCCCATCTTTCTTCTTAAAGAACACCCAGGGCAGTTTCCATTATTGAAAGATAACACTTAAAAACTAAAAATAGTAAGTATACAAATATTTTTAAAGGGTAAAAAATATACCATACTAAAAAAGGAAAGCAAGAACAAGATGATATTACAAAATTATGAAGCAATGCTTATTATGTACTGTCATTTAAGGAATTAAGGGTTCCTGTTGTGTTTAGAGCATGACAAATTGATGTTCTCCATGTTTTGGAAACAAGCCGGCTACATTCTTGTTAAAAATACTGAAATCCACCTTTTTGTCAACTCAGGTAAATAAAACATAACACATTCAAAATGGTTTCCTCTTGTACAGTAAGGTGCACAGGGGCTTTTTAAAATCAGTTAACCATTTTGCATTCTGGTACTTGTACACTGGTATCTATCTACTTGTACAACTACCAACTTGAATTATACAGTTCTCAACATCTTCCCATAACACATGGAATTGTGTCCCACCTATTCATCTTTTCCTAACAGCCCATGTCAGAGAAGGAAAGACGGCAGAAAGATGCAAAACAATCTAATGGAAATATATACTCAAATCTACAAAAAGTCTCTTGAAACCTGTGATGTTTTTCCTGATATGAAATATTATCCCATACATTGCCGTCATTCTGTCTTGCCTTTTTAAAATTTTTTACTCACATTGGTTGGAAACATACCATAAATGAATATAAGAATACATAAGAAAAATGTTATGTGTCATTAAGTTGCTTCCAACGCATGGTGAGCCTAAGAACTAATGACCTCCAAAAGGTCCAGTCGTTAATAGCTGTGCTTAAGTCTTGCAAACTAGAAGTCATGGCTTCCTTTACTAAATAAGGCAAATATCAGTAAATAATTATGAAAATATGTTGAGCACCAATTCTAAAACTGCAAAATAACTGCCAAAATCAAAGTGCATAAAACATAGGACTCAGAGCCACCTTAATAGGGCTTTCAAGCTAAGTAAGATACTTAAGGAGTAGTTTTACCTATACTCCCTCATGAGTTTTTGTGACTTGAGTGGGGATTCTTACCCAGGTCTCCCAAGTTCTAATGTGTCATCCTGTCCACTACTACAACACACTTGGTACTTCATCATAATATACAGCCATTTAAAAGAAAATACACATTTGTCTAATCTAAATAAAAAATTATTTATATGCTAAGCATGGTTGCATCTCTGACCTCAAAGCATAATCTCTCACAAAATAAGTTTCCACATCCACAACTGGCTTTCATATTTGTTCAGTTATTGTAATAAGCTTGGCACATCACAATAAGTAAGACATTTTGCTTCTAATATCTAGGCCATTTCAATGAACTCAATGAACTAAATTGGACACATACAGGATTGTTCTGTAGATCTTTCTGCAACAACTCATAAACTAAAATTCAAAGGATACACAGAGGATCAGCATGACCCCTAAAGCTCTGAATGAAATGGTGCCAGATATTTCATTAATTTAAGAGGTTTACTTTTCTTTTTACTGAGTCAATATTTTCACACATCATCACATTTTCTTTCATCACCATCCAGGCATTTGTCTCAAACTAGTAAATTGTCTGGTTAAAACAAAAAGACAAAACTAAAGTCATGTCATAGTGGAATATTTTTGAAAAACAACAAAAATAATTATAGAAGCCTTTCCAACATAGTTTAATTTTAATGTGTTTTAGCACACATAAAACGATGTGTCATTGTGAAACATCTTTTTGAATAAAGCCAAAAGATGGGTGTAAAACATTCAAGTATTGGATCTGCACTAGACATTTGAGACAGACTTTTGAGACAGACTTAAGGAATTCTAGATTCTTTAAGTCATTTCAGCCATAATTCCTATAATAAAGTCTTCATAAATACATACCACAGAACCAAACAAAAATTAGTTTCTGTAGAACTGAAAGCAAAGCGTGCTGCTTATATACCGCCCCATAACACATCAAGCACTCTCTGGGTGGTTTACAAGATAGAACTATCGAACTTTGCAAAATGATTTTATCTCCCTTGAAGTAGAAAACTGTGGGAGAAGACGCAGATGTTTTCTTTATTCTTCACATACAGCATATTTTAATATCCATTAACTATAGCAAAAAATACTAAGAATAATAGAATTCAAGTTTTAAAGAAACAAAAACGCTATTAAACACCAAGACGTGCTATTTAGAATGTAAATATAAAATATTTAGTTGGAGAGATGAAATGAATTTAAAGATTTTATAGAAGAAAATCCACAAAATCACAGGAAATTATTTCCCAGAACAATCAATAGGAACTGTAACTGTGTTCACATAATATAAGGGGGGAAATCAAAATACTTAGTATTTATCAAAATACTCCACTGAGATTTGTTATCTACTACAGCAACCTAGTTTCCAGTGCTCCACATTTCATTCATAACCAATAACAGGAATTGTTAGATCACACACACATTTTTTTTGTTTTGCAGAGTTTGAACCTTGTCTGGATCCAGTATACCTAAACCTCCCCACAAATTCTAATCATTTCACCCACTGTATGAGTTTGGTAAGCAAGGTCTTTTAATTCAATCAAATACTATGAGGAATATGCAGTTTTATGTCTTTTAATGACCGACACTCACAGCTGGCTGGATAGCTCAGTGGTTTAAGTATCTGGCTGCAGTGCCAGTGTTTGGGAGTTCAATTCCACACTGTGCCTCCTGTGAGTAGAGTCAGTGTGTGTGGCCTTAGGCAAGCTGCAGTCCAAGGATGCCCCCAGGAGGGGAATGGTTAATCACATCTGAGTATTCTAAACCTGGAAAACCCTGAAAAGGGGTGCCATAAGTCAGAACTGACTTGATGGCACATGTTTATTACCAATAATAACTTATAGTGGGAGCTTTAAATGCAGCCTTATCTTATTTTCCCTGTATATGGAATGAGAAATTCACCTTCCTCAGAACCTCACTACTTTGGTGAACTCAACCATGCCAAAACTTTGATTGTACCTCCAATGAGGAGTATTGCATGTATGGAACAGCTGCCACCAGCAGTAACTATGGAGGGGTACCTGGGGTACAATCCCATGCTGCATTACTCAAAGGATAGCTGAGTGCCTGCATCCTGCATCCTTGTTGCGGCAGTCCGTTTTAGCATGGGGTTCTGGAAAGGAGGCAGAGCTCCACTCCTCCCAGTAAAGGATTGTTCTGAGGTTGCAATCCCTTTTTTGAACTATTTGGGACTGAAGTTAACTTCCTGGCACTTCCTGGCAAGTTTGTAAGTTTATTGTTGACCCACGTTGTCTCTTAAGAAGTTGTGTTGCTCCAATAAAAGAACTTCCTCCTGCAAGTACTTGTCATATCATGGTGGGTGGGTGTGGGTGCTGCTCACAACAATTTTGGCCAGTTTATCAAGTAGTTTCTGTATCTGGCTGCAGAGCGAGAGGCTGAAAGTTCAATCCCCCACTGTGGCTCTCTGATAGGAGCTGAACTCGACGAACCCTTCCAGCTATGCAGTTTTAAAGATTATCATTAAAAACAAAACAACTGTTTCTTTTTTTAAATAAAGCTAAAGATTATCCATAAAATAAAGATAGTATTGGAGATTATTTGTACTAAAAAATTAAGTACAAAAATTTAACTACCAACCCAGCTCATTCCTTTGAGTTTCTGTCATTGTTTATGCTCTTTACAGAGAAATATGAAACATTTAAGCCTGGCAGGCACATAAACACTACTGATGTCAAACATCTGAACATCTGTTCTGTCCCTATAATTCAAGAGATTGAGAAGGATACCAATGAAACTAATTTTGTGTGAGAGCAGTGAGTTGAGAGTGATACCAATGAAACTAAAGTTATGCGCTGTCTCTCCCTCTATCACAAAGATACACAGACTTTTTTCTTCTTAAATTCAACAAAAGCTGTTTCATAATAATTTGCCTGAAATGACTCTCACATATTAAAAAAAATACTTTCACCAGGCAAAATCTTAAGACTGAACTTTCTGATTGGGCATAGGGAATGGGCAACAGACCATAATGCATCGCAAAATACTGCTCTAGAGGAATATTCAGTTTTCATGTTAGTGGGACAAATTTGTTCTAGAGCTAAAGTAACTGTTAATTGCAAGGGAGAATTAGCAAATCTGTGTATCAGTGAAGAGCTTCAATGTGCATGTTTGGATCCCAGTCACTGAAGTGTTATACAGATGGTTACAAATGGCTTGTATACATGAGAGATGTGTATTCAGAGTTGGAAATACAGTAGGGCACCCTTATCTGCAGGATCAGTATTCACTTATCCACAGTCCAAAAATACAGGTATTAAAAACATTACATGGAAAAAACTAGAAATACAGTAGATATTTTCAAGATGTAATAACCAAAAACAGTCTCTTCAGTCTTCAGCACATTGAGAAATGAGAAAAGATTTCAACTTGGCTCTTACTCATAGAGGCCTCATCAAGATAAAATATATAGGCAAAAGAGTGGTTGCCCAGTGAAGTGATTACCCATTGAAAGTATGGTAATTTATACCAATTCTCTGTCTCTCTCAATGTGCCATCCCCATACTATTTAAAACTCACCTTAAAAAGCTAGTAAAATTAGTAAAACCCACATTCCACCTTACTCTGGAGGTATCCTTTAAGTAAAGTTTTATTTATGAGCAAACTGGAAACAATTCATGAACGTAAAATGATTTACTTTTCAGTAAGCCTCTATAGGATAGGACATGATACCATACCGAACGG